GTGTTTGTGTACAGGTGTGTGTGAACCTGTGTATATGTGTGTGCAAAGGCTCAAGGTCAATATTAGGAATTTTCTTTGATTGTGCTTCTACCTAGTTCTTTGAGGCAAGGTCTCTCAGTCCAACACAGAGCTTGCCAATACAGCTCATCTCCTTAGCCATTTTGCCCCAGGGATCCAATTTCTTTGCATTCTGAGGTTAGGATTAGAGGAGGGACACCATGTCAACATGTCATTTACATGGATTCTGGGGATCTAAACTCTGGTCCTTTTGCTTGGATGGCATGAGTATTAGCTGCTGACTCATCCCCCTGGCCCAGCATTTCATTTTTAGGATTTATTCACCATATAACTTTTGTCAGTAGCTCAGTTCAGTCAACTAAACCTCCGGAACTCCATTTTCTGATAACTCTTATTAAAGGACAGATGTCCAGGGGTCTCCTATCCTAAATCTGAGCAGGTAAGTCTTGGGAGCTTCATGTGGAAGTTAATTTTCCCATTTTTGCTTATTCTTTGGATGCCTGAATGCATTTGAATTTAATTTTATCACTTTTAAAGTTATGTGTGTACAATTGGCCTTAATGCCCTTTGCAAATCGTGTAGTCACATTCAAGTTCGATGTCTAAACTGCTGAACAGAATGTGGAGAAGATTGAAGTGTGAGAAATTGAAGTCTTATTTTGGTTTGTGATAAAATGTATGTCAGCTCATTTTGGATCATTTCACCAGCAATGAATGAATGTTATCTGTGTGATCCACAAAGATCCCCTTAAAAAAATTGTTCTCTCATCGATACCCTTATTATGGTTGGTTTTGATTATCAGCTTGATGGGATTTGGAATCACCGTGGGAACAAATCCCTGAGCATGTGGGAGGGATTAACTCAATTAGGTTAATTGATGTGGGTGGTACCAGTTCATTGGCTAGAGTCTTGGACTGAATGAAGAGGTGAAAGTGAGCTGACACACACATTTATTGCTCCACGTTGATGCAATGTGACCAGGTAACCCAAATTTCTGCCAGCCGGACCTCCCTGCCATAATAGACTGTACCTTCAAACTGTGAGCTAAAATAAGCCCACCCTTAAGTTGTTTCTGTTGGGTGTTTTGTCAGAGCAACAGGATAAGTAACTGATACAATTTTTTTGTTCAAATCAAGAATAATCAGAAGGAAAGGAAATGGGTTAGCTTGTGTGACAAGAAACCATTTGAGTTCTCAGCTGTGGCTTCCGTTTGCCTAAGTCAGTGCTTTTATTGCCACTCTGAAAAATCCTTTTCTTCTTCGGGTAAACAAATTGACTGTTTCTTTTCTTTAGGATTTGTCCTGACTCTTGTAGAAATTATTGAAATGGACTCTGATCATTTTATCTTTATCTCTTCTTGTTCCCTAGTAGGTGTTCATTTTGTTCCATTTCCTTTAATTTTTTCCTTGCTCAGCTTGAAAACCATTCTACGGGTTCTATAAGGGTAAAAGTGAAATTAAAAGTCTGTAAAATCTTTATTCTTTATGCTATTGGCCATGAGAACAATGATCTTGTTCCTTTGTAATCCCCCACAGTAGTTAACTAGCCTTCCAGCCAGCCCACTGCCTTACCAGTCTACTGCCCCTCTGGCCCACTGACCTACCAGCCCACTGGCCTTCAGCCCACTGACTCACCAGCCCGCTAGTAATAGTCTACTAGTTGTTTTAGTAATTTGAATTGTGAGTCCTGACTCTTGAACTTGAACTGTCTGGTTTCTCTTCAAATAGACTTCTAGCTGTCAAGAATCATGGCAGGAGTGAACTTCCAGAAAGCTGACTTCTGTTAAATCTTCTCTTAAGTCTTTGATCTCGATGATATGTCTCTTTCCATCTTGATTGAACCTACTTGGTAAAGATCTGGCTCTTTCTGTCAGTCACATGAAAATATCATATGTTTAGTAATTACTTTTTCTTCCCTCTTTATAGTTTATAGTTACATGTTTTATTTTATATTGTTATATGTCTGACGTTCCTATCCTCTTGGGAGTTTTTTAGCTATATGCCATTTTTTTCTAAACAGTTGGCATTCTTCATTAATAAATAGAATAAGGGTCAAGATGCTACTGCATCATCTTTTATGACTAAAACATATAAAAAGATTGGGGCTTGGGAGATGGATCAATGGGTAAAGTTGTACAAGAATGAGGACCTGATTTGGATTCCCAGCACCCATGTACAGTGGCAGGCATGGTGGCTCACACCTGTAACTTCAGCCCTTTGGAGCAGGGCAGAGATAGAGGAAGATCTCATTTGCCAGCGAGGCTAGCCAGTGATACCCCAAGGTCAGTAAGCAAGTGTACCTGTGTCAAAAAATAAGGTGGAGAGTGATGGAGACACATGACAACTTGTATTGACCTATTGCCTCCATATATACATGCATGTGTGCATACAGCTCTCTCTCTCTCTCTCTCTCTCTCTCTCTCTCCAGACACACACACACACACACACACACACACACACACACACGGAAAGAAAATAAATGAAATGAAAAAAAGGAAGAAAGGAGATCTGTGATTTGTTTTTTCTTGTCTCTGGTCATTTTTCTTTCACTAGTAAGTCCTCTTGGGTAGCAGAATGTTGGGGATCAGTATGATCTAGATATCCCCTTAGCTGTTGTTAGATGACCATCTTTTCTTCAACATCCTGAAAAAATGCCACGTTCTAAACGAGGTTGTGCTTGGCCACACACCGGCTGGTTTGTCTCCTCAATGACTTACTGTCTGCACCTTCTGGGAATCTATAAAGAAATGATTCATTTCTTGGGGTCATGTTTGGTTGGGAGAACTCTTAAATGGAATTAACTTGACCATGTTAAAATATATGGACTTCCTATATCATCTTTGAACAGGTGGACCATTCCAGGCATGTCTGATTAATGGACCAACTCTGAAGGTAGCTTTAGGAGTGGTATTGAGCCTGTAGCTTCTTAATGTTAGTAAAAAAGTAAGGGTCAGCCATATTTGATTACACCTCACTTAAACTGCAAGCATGACAGCTGAATGAGGGTTTACTTTCACATATGACCTGTGCTGAATGAGGGATACTTAGTCTCCCAGTGACCTGGGTGGCTGCAGACCCCATCACTTGGTTTAGCCTCCAGGTGTAGAGAGATCAATTCACAAATCTCAGTATGAGAAGAGATGCTGAGATTGAGTGAGGTTGTCAAGAGACTCCTGTCAAATTTTGTTCTGAGAGAGCAAAACGAAAATGCCCAAATTCTGGGGAAAGTGAAAGAAAAAAAAGGTTTGTATGTAATTAGAATTTTGTGGAAGCCTGGTAGCCCCTGGGTTCTAAAGAAAACTTGAATCTGGTGGTTATCACAGCTCACTAACTAACAAAGGGTATTTAAAGTTTTGGTTCAGGGTTCTGGGGTCCTGAATGATACCCTATCCTCTGTGCACCAGTTTAAATGTAGTATAGTTACTCAAGTGTTCTTTTTTATTCTGAAGTCGTGGAGTTGTCTTTTTCTGTCTCAGCACCTGTTTTCCCACCGCCTTTTAAAATTTTTACAAACACAGGAAAGCTGGGAATAATGTAAAGAATACTCTGGTGATGTTTACTAAGACGACAGCATGCACAGCTTCCTTTATCTGTGTATTTATCTGTCTTCTCTATTATCTTCTTTGAGCTTGAGACATTTGAAGAGCAGTTGCAGACTCCTATCCTTTCATGGCTTACTGTGTCCATAAACATGTATCTCCAGTAGATAAAGATGTTTTCCTATTTGGTCACATTTATGAAAATGAAGGTGGACTAAATAATTCTCTGAGGCTATTTGCTCAGTTGTCTGGTATTGCTAATGATGACGGCTTCAGAGTTCAATCACTGTAGAACTATACCCATGTCACAGCATGTGTGCTGATCAGAAGACAACCTCTGGAGTTGGTCCTTGTTAGAAGCAGGGTCTCCTTGTTGTTCACCAGGCTAGCTGACCCACGAGCTTCCTGGAATTCTCTTGTTTCTACCTCCTAAGTTGTAGGAGTGCTGGGGTTACAAGTGCATGCTATTGTATTCAGATTTTCATGAGTGTTGGGGATCTGAACTTGGGGCTTTATATTTGCATATCAACTGCTTTCACCCACATCGCCATCTCCTCAACCCTGATATATGTGTATCTAAGTATATAAAAGCAGTTGTCATCAATGCTATCCCATATCCTAGATCTGTTCAGTGCATTGGATGTTACTGAGAGGTTGTGCTGAATAAGGACCTGTGTGCTATCTGATCACCCCACTGTTGGTGGTGCTAAGTGTGGGTAAGGGTGTGGCTCATTGCCTTCCATGAAGTTGCATTTCCCCAGCAGTGAATGGTTAGTTTGTGGGCTGATATCTTTAGACCACCTGGGCATCCTAGTCCCCTGAAATTCTACATGGTGATTTTAGCATCCAGGGGGTGGTCCTTGTCTGATTTGATTATCACAGTGGCGTTTAAAGAAGGATAACACTTCACATCTGGTTATTACTTTTTAATGATATTAGGTGACCTATCAATATAAGAAAAATAACTTTCTTCTTCTCCCTCCCTCCCTCCCTCCCTCCCTGCCTCCTTCCCTTCCTCCCTTGCTTCCTCCTTCCCCCACCCCTTCCTTTCTCTTTCTCAGCATTGGTAGAGATCCATGCCCTATTTTTACTCACCCTGTCACGTTACCACCATCTTTCTCTTCTGTGTTAAAACTGTCCTAAATCTGGCTGTTCAGAGAACAGTCACCTAGCTCCTGTGTCTTTTTCTTTTCAGGGGGGGGGGCTGTTGGAGATTGAACCTAGCACTGAGTGACACCAAGTTCTTGTATTCTTTTCAGGTGACAGGATTTATCCCTAACACCTCCTTGCTTTTCTGGTACAATCATAAACTTAACTCTATCATGAGAAGGGGGTTATTTCCTCTTGATGGGGTGCTGGTTATGGTCATTAATGATGTGTGTGGAAATCGAGGCCTGCCTTCCGGGACTAGAACCTCAAGGCTTCTTTTGTTTGCATTGGGCAGGTACAGCACCAATGAAGGGGAGACCTGGAAGACGTTTGTCTTCTCCGAGAAGCCTGTGTTTGTGTATGGGCTTCTCACAGAACCTGGTGAGAAGAGTACCGTCTTCACCATCTTTGGCTCAAATAAGGAGAATGTCCACAGCTGGCTCATCCTGCAGGTTAATGCCACCGATGCCTTGGGTAAGCCATTGCCTCCTGGGCCCTGGCCACAGACATAATGACTGACTGTCAGGAGTGTGCAAGTGGCAGCTTAGATACAGTATCCTCAGTTTGGGATTCATTAGGGGAGATGTGCCCAGGTAGGTGAGTGAAAGACACGGCACAGGGGCTCACTGGTTTACTCAAGTCTTAAGGGACTGTTTATGATTCTTTGTGTCCTGGTTTCCTCGTGGAGTACCTGGCATGATGCATACATATATATATATATATATATATATATATGTTAAAAGTATGGATGGATGGATGGAGGGAAGGCTGGATGGAAGCAAGCTTTCTGAATTAGAGGACCTATTCAGTGGATGTGTCTGTATTAGCTCTCTATCAGGGAAAAGGGCGGAAAATATTATTTTGGCTCATGTTTATTTTGGTCCATAGTTCCTTGACATTTTCCTATTGGGCTATACTAGGAGCTATGGTAGGAGACGATTGCCTATCTCATGGTGTCCAGGAAGGAGGGGGGGATGAGAGGAGGAGGGAGGAGGAGGAGAGGAAGAGGAGGAGGAGGAGGAAGAGAAGGAGGAGGAAGGGGCTGGGATCCCAATACATTTAAGAACACATTCATGGGGCTGGAGAGATGGCTCTGAGGTTAAGAGCACTAGCTGCTCTTCATGAGATCCTGAATTCAATTCCCAGCAACCACATGGGTGGCTCACAACCATCTATAATGATATTTGTTGCCTTCTTCTGGCATGCAGACATACATGCAGGCAGAACACTGTATATACAATAAATAAATAAGTCAAAAAGAAAAAAGAACGCACTCCTGCTGAGCTTACTTACCCTCTAGACTTTCTTTCCTGAAAGTCCCACCACTTACCCATAATGCCATGGGCCAGGGACTAACACCTGGGTCTTTGGGAGCATTCGCCCAGAATAGCACCGATTCAGGATCCTTTGAAGGCTGTCTGTAGTCTAGTTTCGATCTGTTGGTGCACTTGGGATCCTTAACATTGAGGACTGATGGACTCTTGAATGCTCTTTCATATTGCCTCATCGACCTCTGTCCTTTCTCTCTTCTGCTTCGCTGATATTACTCTAACTGTCCAGAAAGCCCCTCATGTCTTCTTACTGCCACCCATTCAACCTCAGCCTCAGGATCTAGCACCTGTGCTGTTGACATCTCAATCAAAAGATGTCTGTCTTCTTTATGATACAAAATAAGCATATCCATCACATCTTGAATTATACATTTGTGTCTACAATTATGTACCCTGTCCCATCACCTGCTTATAAGGCTCCTCAAAACAAGGACTTTTCCTGCGCATAGCTATTGAGTTTCTTTAGTGCCTCATAGACAGTAGAGTTTTTAATAATTCTTTGCTAATTTGAATGGCAATGTGTTGACAGGTATGCATCAGCTTTGGGTAGTATTTAATCTGACATGCATATAAAAAAGATACAAGGCACCGATCTAGACATAAGCATAGAATTCCCATAGGCACACTACTGACATTTTAAATGGATGTGGGCTGGTGCAATGAGTGTGAAGTTATCTTGTCATTTCCCAGTCTCTCTACATAAAGATCCTGTACCATCAAGTAGGGCAAACACGTCCTTCAGTGCTCTCAGCCCATCCTACCAGATTCACCTTCATCCTAAGGAAACAGGATGGGACAGCAATACCCTACATTATCTACCAAAGTGTCCCTTTTTCCTAGGAGAGAGCTCAGCCCCACCCCTACCCCACCTCCACCCTGGCACCTATTGATAAAAGGATTTTCCAACTGTCCTAATAATTTAGAGACTTGGCTAAGTATTGGTATATGCCAGAATTCCAGTACTGGGAGTGGGGAGGGGGTGGCTGAGGCATGGGGATCAGGAGTTTGCAGTTCACTTGAATTCTCTAGATAGGTCCTCTTTTTAATAAAACATGAAAGCAAGCCAGCAAACCATCCAAAACTCTAAACCAGTGAGATGGTTCCGCAGGTAAATGTGCTTGCTGTGCAAGCCTGAATTCAATCCTGGGAGCCCATGTAAAGGCAGAAGGGGACAACTTATTCTGCAAAGTTGTCCTCTGACCTCCACATTTGCACCAGGGCACACAATAAATAAGTTTAAAATAATCCCCCCACCCCCCACACACACATAGTGCACAAGTCAAACAAAGTAAACAGCAGCAATCATTACCACCCCTGTTCTCCCAAGTGCCTCAAATTTTATGATTCAGAAGTTCGGATGTTGCCAATTGTGACTGGCATCTTCACTGCTTCCTTAGGGGAGCACCTCTGTTTTAATCATGTTGCCTTTATCCTCGGGGCTACTGCCCACCCTCAGCACACAGTGACTAGAGATGGGTAGCTTTGTGCTCTGCACTTGCTTGGTGGCCACAGAGACACTGGAAATAGAGGGCTGAGTTGAGGTGGGGAGACAGGAAACTGCACAGCCTGGATCTGATGCTTTGCTCTGCCTTTTTCTGTTTTTAGGGGTTCCCTGCACAGAAAACGACTACAAGCTGTGGTCCCCGTCTGATGAGCGGGGAAATGAGTGTTTGCTAGGACACAAAACAGTTTTCAAAAGGAGGACCCCCCATGCAACGTGCTTTAACGGGGAAGACTTTGACCGGCCAGTGGTCGTGTCCAACTGCTCCTGCACCCGGGAGGACTATGAATGGTGTGTTCCTCCTCCATGGCCAGGACCTTGAGTTGTGTCATATCTGCTCTGCAGTGTGAGGCTCAAAGATGGGAGAGCATGTTCTGTTTCTCAGAGGAAGGGAATAGCATTCATTGAGTGTGCCTTCTGAGCCAGGAACTGTGTGAGGCACTTTTTACTTCCGTTGTCTTCTAATTCTACAGCCATCCAGTTGAGTAGAGGTGTGGCTTCCCAAAGTTTCAGTCATTTTTGTATGGACTCATAGTCAGGGTTTGTTTCTAGGAGGACCACTGAAGGGAATATGCTGAAAGTCCTGTTTGGGGTAACTTGTTTTCTATAGATCTCCTTCCCTAGAGAGGACTTGTTTTCTTATCTGAAATGGGGGGATGTTTGTATGTATGATTTTTGCATCATCTATTGTTGCTTGAGGAAACTATCCCAGGCACGCCTGGGAATTGTTAAATGGAATCAACATCTGTACGAATACTACAACAGGAGGTGAGAAGCCACCTTAGGGCTAGAATAGCTAGCTGCCTTTGGTGTGGCCATGGAAAGAGAAGGCTGTGATTTCCAGTAGGAAAATCGGGATTTCTGGAGATGTTTGACAAGGCAGTATCAGTCCATACATCAGCAGTGTGGGGATGTGGGGGCAGGAACGTGCCTGTTACTGCCAGTCTGTTTTGAATGACTGGTTTGGATATGTGGAACGGGGTCAGTGAGAAGAGATGAGGTGGAAAGATGACAGGCAGTGGGTGGAAGTGGAGGCCCTGCAGGAGAGCGACCTTATCCTGTGTGTGTGTGTGTGGGGGGATTGATAGGCCTTTGAGGAGAGTTGAGCTGAGCAGAGCTTAGCTGGAGAAGGTTCCTGTTGTTGAGTGCACAGTATGTGGTCCCTTCTGTCAGGTGCTGACTAGAATGTGGACTTGCAGCCTACTCAGAGCATTTGTTTCTACGGTGGTTGAGGCACTAAGCATGTTTTACCTTTGGTATCATTATACTTGGCCAGCTAAAGCCAGAGCCCTCTGATATGTGCTAGACCAGAGGTTGGAAGAGGGCCCCATGGGAAATGTTTTAGGCTTTGGAAGTCATATGGTTCTAGGGTTGCTACTCATCTGTGCCTCTGGTAGCACCCACAGATGAAGGAAGACATCCCTGATGAAGGGATCTGGTTGTGATTCAGGAGACTGGTTTTATAAAAACATCCAACTAGATTTGGCCAAACACATATGGGTCTTGATAAAATACACATGCTGCCCCAGGAGTTCAAGCAGCCTCTGGGTGCTAGACGAATTGCATTCATTCTTATTTCAGGTTTCAACAGGGGTGTCACCTGCATCTGGAATCTGTAGGGTGTTTTGGAGCTAGCCTCCTTCAGACATGAAAAATGACTGTACCAAGAAATAAAATTAAGACGAAGTAAAAAGTTACTTGGTGAAATCAAACAAAGCTTTTGCTTTCTTCCCTCCTGGTTGCTGTTTTGCTTTTTAAAGAAGAAATGTAAAAATCCTCCCCCACAAAACAAGCAAAAGCTCAGTATTCTTGAAAAACTGGCTGCAATGCTGCTGGTTTGCTAGAACTTGCTTGTTACTTATTTCTGCTGAGTGCCAAGTCTTTATTATAGACCAGGAAAACCTCTCTGCCCCTGTAGCACTGCAGAAAATGGTGAAGGGCCCATTGATGTCAGGGTGCCCTCTGTTTGCTGTGGCTTCCAGAAAGGGGCCATTCTGGTCATGTGACTCTGGAGAATAGTTTATAGATTCGACTGTGGCACTGACAAAGGAAATGGTTCCAAGACACCACGGGAGGTGAGATGAGGACATGCCAGCTATGGTGATACCTGCCCATGGGTTGAGCCACTGATGGACCATTGTGTTTGCAAGCCAAATAAATTCTGTTAGTCCTTTCAGACCACAGTGGGACACCACACTATTGGTGGCTATGTTCTCTGATTTCAAGAGTGGTTTCTTTTACATCTTTTTATTTCTCCACGTTGCTAAGTCATGTAGCTTTCAGATTCTTAAGTGCAACCCTTAGTAAGCAATATAGTTCATGTTGTGACCCATTGTCCACACATGTGTGCATGTGCAGATCCACGTGTTTGCACATGTAATTAAAACAGTTTTTATGGGACAGTTACTTTTTAAACACATGATGGTTTTTGCAGTCTTTCATTGTTTGTGGGAGAGTAGGAAGCTATTGTGACCTGCAGACCAAGAAAGCTGTCTCACAGCTGGGTGCCTGGCTGTGGAGGCAAACAAGCAATGTGCTAACACTCCAGCAGTGCAGGTCCTCATAGAGTAGCCATTAGGTAACAAATAGATGATTGAATGAGTAAGAGTAATAAAATCACCACCTTTGGAAGGTTCACCACAGATCACTAAGTGTGGATTTACAATGCAAACTATGTTGTCCTGTAATTTGTTTGTACTTTTATTCTTGGAAAATGTAGGAGATATTTAATAAATGTTAAATTCAATGTTGGGAAGTGAAGCTCTTGGGGTCTGGCTCATGAATAAAAAATTTTTTTTTTTTTTTTTTTTTTTTTTGGTTTTTCGAGACAGGGTTTCTCCGTGTAGCTTTGGAGCCTATCCTGGCACTCGCTCTGGAGACCAGGCTGGCCTCGAACTCACAGAGATCCACCTGCCTCTGCCTCCCGAGTGCTGGGATTAAAGGTGTGTGCCACCAACGGAATAAAAAATTCTTATGACTCGAAGAACTGGTAGCTTGAGTTGAGCCTTGGAAAACACAGTACAGCTGCCTTACATTCCAAGTGGGGAATATAGACGGAAGAAGCCATGGAGAAGGGGGTGTGGGGGGGAGAGACTTAAAATTCAACCAGTTTTTGCTTTCTTCACCCACCAAGCTATGAGTTTGGCTGATGTGGTCTCCAGATTACAGGATGAACTAAACTGTCATCTCCCAAAGTTCAGGATGAGATATCTAGGTGATTTAGACAGTATGGGAAAAGGGTCTTAAATGACACTGAATTCTTAGTCACAATGATTTTTAAGACTAGGAAGTTATAGATAGATAGATAGATAGATAGATAGAGAGATAGAGAGATAGATAGATAACTTATCTGGCATGGACAAGGTCCTGATTTTGATACAAAGCACTTTAAAAGAAATCTTTTTAAGGTTTTTCTTTTTAAATTCTTCTTTTAATTCTAAAATTAAGCCAAGGAGGAAGTATCACAGTCCTTAAATATTGGCTAATCCAGTGTGTGTGTGTGTGTGTGTGTGTGTGTGTGTATGGTATATGCACCTGTGATGACCTGTGTGTGGGAGATGAGCAGACAATTTCTGGGAGCTGGTTCTTTCTGAGCTAGAAACTTTTGTCTCTAGAGCACTGTGTATGCCAGGCTGCTAGCTCCAAGCTTGTAACCAATTCTCCTGGTTTCTCCCTTCTTGGAGTAGGAGTGCTGGGATTACAGACAGGCACCACTGCGGTCTGCATTTTACACAGTGCCCAGCTTGTGTTCAGGAGCTTTTACTTGCCATCACCCTGCCCCCCCCATTTTATTTATTTCTTTGAAATAGAGTCTTGTATTCCAGGCTAGCTTCAAGCCTACTTCAAATCAACTTCTGATTATCTTGCGTCTACCTCCCTGGTTTGTACCCCCCACGACTAGTGCTGATATTGAACCCAAGGCCTTGTGCGTGCTAGGCAAGCGCTCTGTCAATAGAACTATAGCTTCAACCCCACTGTTCCCTTTTAGCCAAGAACAAGACAGTCCCTGTGAGTCTGGATAGGCAGCTGAGTGTAGATGATAATTTTCTTTGGCATGATGACTTGCATCCTTTTTGTATGTAGCTTAGAGTATGTAGCAATGGCTCTCCAGATGGGTCTCTGATACATAGCTTTTTATGCAGAAGTAGCATAGTATAACAAAGCGGTTGTTCTTTAAAGGGCTAGTGGAGTAGCCCATATATTGTAAGTACTAGGTAGAGTATAGAGTTTGCAGGGTTGGTTCTGAAGTGCCAGTGATTCATATCCATGGTCTAAATGAACTCCAATATGCCTTTTCAGTGACTTTGGCTTCAAGCTGAGTGAAGATCTCTCCTTAGAGGTTTGTGTTCCAGACCCCGAGTTTTCTGGGAAGCCCTACAGCCCTCCTATGCCCTGTCCCGTGGGTTCTACATACAGGAGAACGAGAGGGTATGTATCACAAGGTTGTCTGACTCAGGCTCACAAGGGCCTGCCAGGGGAAGGAGAGGGTTTGAGGATCATGTGACTCTGTCTGCACCCTAAATTTTCAAACCCCAAGTTACAGACTGCAGGTGGTTGGGCAGCTTTTTAAATTAATGGCATCTGCAGTCTCCTATTCTCAGTGAGGGAAGTCTGCAAGCTTTTCTGCAAGGCTGAGGGCATCCTCAGCTGTGGAAACATCTTCAGAGGAGTTTATAGAAGAGAGATATTTTTCATTGTTTCCCTGAGCATTGCATTAAATTGTCTGGGTCTACACATTCTAAATATTACAAGCAAAACTGACGCAGAGCAAATAAACCCCATCCTTCTAACTTTGTTGTCATGGCCAGGAGTATGTGCTCAGTGGGGGTACCTCCATGACCCATATGTACCCTCTGTGTTTCTGATTTCTTGCTTTGGTGATTGGGGTAACAGCTATCGGAAGATTTCTGGGGACACTTGCAGTGGAGGAGATGTCGAAGCGCGGCTGGAAGGGGAGCTGGTCCCCTGTCCTCTGGCAGGTAAGACAGGCAGCCTCTTCCCTTTGCCTTCTTGAGTGCTGGTTGGGTCATTCTGGTCTCACCCCCAAGGCATGTGACAGTTCTTAGGATTTAAGCATCATGGGATCTCCTTCCTTAAGCTTAGTCTCCCACCTTGAAAGAATGGGAAATATTTGGTGGTAGGTTGGGTGTTAAGGAGTAGTCTATTTGGTGTCTGTTATGTACCGAGCACTGGGAATTGGGGCACAGTCACAGGCCTTGATGTGCATTTCAGTTTGTCAAAGTTGAATATAAAAAGTCTAAGGCTCCTTCTAAACTTGCTAAGTGGTCTATCTTATTTTATAATAAATGTTAGCTTTATTAGAATTTTGCAGATTTCAATTCACTTGGCAGTTGAATCTTCTCTACAGCCCAGGGATGCAGAAATCATTGGCGCTGCTAAAAACTATATTATGTGTGTCTATATGAGGAAGCAAGCAGTTTCAGAGGAAAAGATGTTCCCGAGGTCACTCACATATCTAGTAATTGACAGTGGTGAAATTCAGACCTGAAGGTCCAGGATCCAAATGGTATCTAAGTGTTAGTCCTATTTCCCATGTTCACTGTGCCTACTAATGGAGAAGACCTTCTTTGGAGACATTATGAAGACATAAGTGTATTTCAAACACATTTTAGCTGTGTAGTGGTGATGTAACATGGGCTATATAGACACAGAATTTGATACATTAAAAAGGTGGCTGGGCTGGGCACATGGCTCAGTGAATAAGAGCATTTGCTATGTAGGTCTGAGGACCTGAGTTCAAGTTCTCTAAATGAAAGCCAGTATGATCATGTGTGTGCTTGTAAGCTCAGTGTTGTAGAGGGTTGGAAACAAGAGGCTCACTGGGGCTTGCTGGAGACCAGCTTAGCTCCAGGCTGAGTGAGAGATTCTCTTTAGGTAGTAAGACTGAGAGTGATGGAGCAGGACATGTGATGTTCAGCTGGATACACACACATATGCTCATGTACATTTCACACACGAACACGCACAGACACATATACAGACACACACATATGCATGCACACACACACAGGCACACCCAAACATACACACACACACAAATACACACAGACACAGACATAACACACACATAGAGATACACAGAGACAGACACGTAGGGAGACATACGGACACAGAGACACACAAAGACACACACAACACATACAGACCAACACACACACGCAGAGACACAGAGAGAGACATACAGACACAAACACACACACACACACACACACACATATAACACATACAGACATACAGAGACACATACACACAACACACACACACAGATGCACACACATAACACACACAGACACATAACACACACATACACAGACACACACGGACACATAACACATATACACACACAGACATACACACACAGACATACACACATACATACTTACACACACAGACATACAACACACACAGATACACATACAGACACACATAACACACGGACATACACACACACAGACACACATAACACACACATAACACACAGACACACATAATACACACACACATACACACACACACACACACACACACACACACATACACACACCCTCTTTTCTTCCTTCACTGTTTCCAGGTCTTACTCACTCAGGGCTTCCTTACTACCTCAGAGGCTTCATCATGCTGCTACTTGTCAGTGAGGGCAGGTGAGTGGCCCTGGCTTCCATAAGCAGTGACGTTGTGATGGAAGTGCCATGAGCTCCCAGTGAATCATGACACAGACATGCCATCCTCCATCTTCCACAGGCAGGCAGCACAGGGCAGTCTCCTGCCAATTTATTGCTCATCGGCTTGCCCTGGTGTTTTCATGCTAAGCTCATTAGCCCCTTAATTTAATCTTCCGTCATTACCAGAGTAATTAACATACCTCACTGTGGAGACGTAAAAAGAACCACTAATTCAGCAGATTCCTACAAATGAGCAGATAATATTCAAACGTTCCCCTCACGAGCTGCTGTGATGAGGGCTTGGGTGAGGAGGGTTTGAGTGATCGCTCTTGAGGGCCTGGAGTACATACTTTTGTCATAAATACTTCCAGGGGTAATTCAGCAAGGGACACAACTGTTTGTTCAAAGCCATCAGAAATGGCAAGAAAGCTATTTTCTCTTCTAATAGAAGAGGAGGGAGCAGGGGATGAAATAGAAAAGTCTCATTTTAGGGTAGGTCATCCCTGAAATGCAAGCACGGAAGTACTCAGAGGGGGGAAAAAGATGTTTTCTAGGACTAATGGGGACCATAACATCTTTACAAAGATGAGGTAATGTGGGCATCTGGAAGGATTTTTTAAATGCAGCAATTTTTCTTCTTTATGATTACTGTAACAATGGATCTTTCTAGGCTGTGCTTATGCATGGCTGCGCCAGCCAAAGCCTCTATTCCATTTCTAGGTTAGGACTCACTCACACGTGGGAAGCGTTGCATGTACTCCATGCCTGCCTCCTAAGCAGCCTCTTCTGGTTGTCTACTGTGCTGCAAAGGGCACTGGCTTCTTAGAAGAAACAAAGGAGCAGTGAGGATCTGGGCGCTGCAGAGGGTTGTGGGTCAGAAATCTCACTGCTGGGCTTGTGGCTTTCATCTTGCGACCCATGTCCTCCTGCCGCTAAGGATTCAGGCATTACGCTGGCTTGCCCCTATCACCTGGCAGAATGCACTCAGGCAGTACCCTGGTCAGCCCAGGGTTCCATGATTGCATAGTCTGTATGCAGGTGCAAAGGACCCTTTAAAAGACAGACCCCGCCCACTTATGCCCCCACCCCTCCCACTGGGGGCAGACAGGTATTTTCCTGTCTCCCTCTTCTCTTCTGTCCTCTGTGTCTGTGTCTCTTTACCTCTTTTCTCTTTTCTTCCCCCTTCTCGTCCCTTTCTAATAAAATTTCTGACTGAGGCTCTGTCTGCCTGGTATGTTTGTCCCCCTGCCTAGGTCACCCTTGCCTGCCATGGCATCCAAGCAAGGTTCCCCTCGTGCATTATCATAACACTGCCCCCTGCCTTGGAATGAATGTCAGCCAAAAGGAGACATTAGTTACCGTGTGGTGGTACCTTGGGTATTTCTGAAGCAATATGAAAATAGAGAAAAGAGGCAAACTTACCTTATTCAAGATTTGGATAGATTTGTCTGTTATTTAAAACTTTTGGGGGACAGTGCTAGGGATTAGCCCAGAACTTACCACATAAGAAACAAGTGCTCCACCTGCTCTCACTTTGTGGATTTATGTTTTCAGTGTGTGATCAATATTGAAGATTTTTAAAAATCCCATTTATTTGTGTGTATGTGAGGCTGGGAGGGGGTTTGTGTATCAGAGTGTATGTGTAGAGGTCAGAGGACAACTTTAGGGGGTGATTCTCCTCTTTCACTCTGTAGGTTTCTGGGAATCGAGCACAGGTCATTAGGCTTGGCAGCAAGTACCTTTACCTGCTGAGCCATCTTGCTGGCCCAATATTGAGGCTTTTATAAAGCAGGTGGTTATAAGGGTATGTGAGTTCAGTGAATTCACAGGATGAGAGAAAGACGAGAAAGGGGGGCAACAACCAATTCAAGTCTGCAGCAAAGGATTCATGTTTGCATCTTGCGTCCACATGTCCCACATGTAGCATAGCATCAGTGGATGCTTTAAATTTTGTTTTTCTCTTTTTTAAGAGATATTTTTATTGTTAGTCTATTTGGAGAGATGACACAAGTAACAAATATTTGGATAGGCACAGAGTCAGGAAACATCTGGGAACTGTCCTTAGTTTTGCCCCAGGACCCACATAGACCAGGCTTCTTCTCATCCCTTCTTCTGAGCACCATCCTTCTAGTTCCTCTGGGGTTTCCCTCCTATACTTTATTCTTCCTAGCATCTCTGGACTGGGTTCTTTTAAAGTCGACTTGCTACACAAGGTATTGTAAAGGATACATATGAACAGCCAGATGACAGATGAGGGTGAGGTGCGGCTGAAGGGCACTGAGCTTACACATTACACATCCTTCCTAGTCCTGCCACCCTCAGGCACCTCTGTGTGTTCAGCTATCTCAGGGTTCTATGTGTGCTGTAGACAGAGATGCCCATTGCTCTGCACTCCTGTGGAGGAGTCCTGATGACTCCTGGGCTATTTTCTAAGTAGAAAGAGAGGGTATTAGGCCTTAAATTACTGGTTGTCTGACATTAGGTAACACTGAGAAGCACACTGACCCTCTATATGCCTTTAAATAAGTGCCATCGTGAGGATCTACTCCATTAAAGGTAGCATGATGTAAAGGCTAAAACATAGACTCTGAATCCAGATGCTTGCTTCCTAGCTGTGTGTCCTTGAGTGAATTAATACCCATTCTTCAATCTCATGGGTGTTTTGAGGATTAAACAATGCCTGGTACATAGTAAGTACATTGTGTAAACATTTGCTGAGCAGAAACAGAACCTTTGTAATTACTCTGTAGAACATTTTGTAATCATTTCAGAAAAAATGTATGATTGCTTTGGAAACTTAACAGGTCCACCCTAAAGCATAAACAGGCCATTTTGAATAGTATGTATGAGTGAACAAATTCGGTGAGAAACTTGGTTAGAAGGCTTTAAAGTTACCAAGTAGTCACCAAGATAATGGTGCTACGGGGCTGTCAGATGATGATATGATATGGAATGACTTGTCTGTCATCTATGTTGATGAGTGCGACTGAAGACTGTTAGGCAGAGATCAGAAATATGAATGTTGAAATTTTTGTTTTTGCAGTGTAACAAAACATAAATGCTTTTACTGGATTAGAAACGTGATTTTGTTCTGTGTCCTGAGTTTAGATTCCTAAGCTCTTGCACTTGGGCTACTGTTGTGACAAAGGGGGTTGAGATTTGTGTGTGAGAAAAAAGTAGGCTTGGCCTCTAGAGCCAACCCCAAAGGGGGTTGAGATTTGTGTGTGAGAAAAAAGTAGGCTTGGCCTCTAGTCAGTCTTCAGCATCCCTGGCTATCATGGTTACTTTGTATCTGCAGAAGAGAATGAGTTCATCCTGTATGCTGTGCGGAAGTCCATCTACCGCTATGACCTGGCCTCTGGAGCCACGGAGCAGCTGCCTCTCTCAGGGCTGCGGGCAGCTGTGGCCCTGGACTTTGACTATGAACGCAACTGCCTGTATTGGTCAGACCTGGCGCTGGACACCATCCAGGTGAGTCTGTCAGCCATTGATTAAGTCTTGAGGCTGTGGCTTCTGACTATCCAGTCCTGAGAGGCTTCAAGCGAGGCTTAAGTAGGTGAGCCGAAAGTGTTTTGCACATGGTAACACATTCTTGGGTTGCTACATGAAACTGCAATTTTCTGTTGTAGTTTTCTTCCCCTGCCTGGCTCTACCCCTGTGAGAAGGATAAAGGATGCCCCCAATCTGTATCCCTGACTGCATCTGAGGTCTCACTTTTTCTGCTGGGCAGGTTCTAGGGCCAGTGATGTGGAATTGTCAGTTGCCAACTTCCTCTTTAGTATCTTCCCCTCCAAGTCAAAGTGTAGTGACACTCCAATTATCTTCAATTTGCATAACTACTCACCCCAGGTCTCCTGAACTCAGACAAGAACCAGGAAGTGGCTGGACATGGCGGGAGGCTGTGTGGGGCGGGTGGATGGCTTCAACCTAGACACTCAGGGGAGATACAGCCCAGTGGATCAGTGTTTACCCAGTGAACACACACAAAGGCCCAGTTTCAATTCTCATGACTACAAAAATAAAACAGCTATCCAACACCACCACACAGTCTCTCTCTCTCTCTCTCTCTCTCTCTCTCTCTCTCTCTCTCGCACACACACACACACACACACACACCTCACAGGATATAGGTATTAAAGATCCCTTGATAGGCCAGACACTTGATCATATACTCATATGCTCAAATGTATGCATTTTTAAATATTTATTTTTTTAATTTTACTGTATGGGTGTTTTGGCCGAATGTATGTCCGTGCACCATTGCATGCCTGGTGCCAGAGGAGGCCAGGAGAAGTAGCCTCTGGAACTGAGGTTACAGACTCTTGGCTAGCTGCCATGTGGGTGCTGAGAACTGGACTTTCTTCTGCAAGAGCAGGAAGTACTTTAAACTGCTGAGCCATTTCTCCATCCCCAAATGAACCTAGAAATATAGCTCAGTGGTAGATCACTTATCTAGCAAGCAGGCCATAGGTTCAAAAGAGGCAAAAAGAGAGAGCTATGTCATATTGACTCCTTGTCTACTTGGTTCCAAAGTCCAGACCTAATGTAAGTTTTACAATATGAAGGTTGGGGTTGGGGAAGACCACTGAGTGTAACTGTCCCAACAATGACACCCAGTGTCCAAGAGCCTTGCAAGGGATAAAAGACTATGAAAGGAGACAGGAGAATTAAAAAGTAGCAGCATCTATTTTTCATTTATTTTAAAGCAGCAGAATCCTATGTCTCTGTGAATAGATCATTACTCCGAGACAGGCCATAGTTTAGTAATCTGTGCTTACAATACTAGCATGCAGTAATAGAAATGATTAAATTCTGCCTGTCATGTTTAAAGCAGGGTCTTGAAGATTCTCCTATCTAACCCACATTTCCTCCTATAAAACTTTATGTCCTTGGCAGACCAGCTAGCTGAAGGCAGGGTTACTGTCCTTGGGGCTGGCTGGTTGGCCTGAGTCTTCTGCACAGTTCAGTGTTGATTACTGCTCTCTCCCTAGCGTCTCTGCTTGAATGGAAGCACCGGGCAAGAGGTGATCATCAATTCGGGCCTGGAGACTGTGGAGGCTTTGGCCTTCGAACCCCTCAGCCAATTACTGTACTGGGTGGATGCTGGCTTTAAAAAGATTGAGGTACGAGTACTCCTCTGTTCTTCATTAGGCAAACAGGTGGAACAGCTGGGCTTTGAGCCAGATCTGACACAAGACAGAAAGCAGTGTGTCATGTAACTCGAGAAATTTCCCAGCGTTTCCAGGGCCTCAGCTTTCTGAACCTCTGAAGATATGAAAGGGGGTCATCTCAGAGGAACCCAAGTGAGGACACAAAGCCAGAGGTGTCATTTAAGATACAGAAGAGTTTGTATTTTGGCTAGTAGAAGCATCATATAATAACAATAATGATGATGATTTCATAACGTTGTAATCATTCATAACAATAACAGTCCATTATTATCTAAAGCAACAATGCCTCTATCATTATCGTTATTGATCTCTATCTAGCTGCCCAGAAACCTGTTCCACCTTGTATAGCCATGGTTACATGAGGCGATGGAGGGCCTGTAAACTGCTCAAAGTATTGTGTTGAAGAATCATATGTGCACCCTGTCTGGCAGGTTACTGCTGTGGCCCTAGAATACTGTCCCAGCAGATCTTTGTATTGGCGCTGCATGAAACTGTGACTTGCCAGTTAATGGGGAAAAAACACAGTAGGGAGACACAGAGAGCTAAGTGACATAGTGAGAAGGAGACACAGACTTGAAGGCTGCCCTGGATTCATGCATCATTCTCCCCGCTATGGGACATGCAGCAAGGGGCTTCCTGAATCTCATTTTTCTTAATGTTGACAGCAAGAGTCATTTACTTAGCTGTTGAATGAGTGCTCCTTGGTGCAGGTCATGTGCCAGGCCTGCTCTTAAGTTTGATGGTTCCATGATCAGGCAGTGGGAAGGACACACACATTCTCTTTCTGATTGGCATTAAGTTTAATGGAGCTGGTATGATGGTATGTACCTGTAATCCCAGCACTTGGCTGAGGTAGGAAGATCAAGATTTTGAGACCAGCCTTGGCTACATTGTAAGTTCAATGGCCAGCCTGAGGTACACAATGATCTTGTCTTAAAGCAAATGGAAACCACTGACAACCCCTCAACCAAACTAGCTCAGTGGAAGAAGCAAGGCGATAAGAAGATAAAGAAACCTGCCCTGATGATGATGGTTCTGAGAAGAACATGAAGCAAGTCATGTGATTGTGTGGTTGGGGAGTGGGTGGTAAGAAGAGAGATGAAATAAATGGGGAAGCTTTTACCCTCTTAGCTGAACCGGATGCTGGAGGGGAGTCTCCCCTGGAAACTGGCAGAAGAAATTCATATAAAGTAGTGATGGCGGTTGGGTACAGCCAGCCCTCCAAAACTGTAGTTTCACGTCCAGGAATTGAACATATTTTAAAAGAGCAAACCCAAAATTGTACTACCTATGCAGACTCCTTCCCTTGTCATCCATCCAAACAACTCAGCAACACCTACTTGCTTAGCACCAACACTGTTACAGGAATTATCAGTGGTCTAGGGATGCTTTCAAGTGTGCAGGAAGAAATGTGTGGGTTGTGTGGGGTCCTGAAGAATGACGTAAATGGGGCTTTGTGGACTTGGAAGGACCACATCTTTTACTTTTGTTCACGTTATTAGACCCTGGGGTTGGGATCAGGAAACACACAGTTCCAGCTTCCCCGTCAGCCCATGTGAAAATTTTCTCAGCCAGGGACATGCTCTGTGCTTTCTGACTGGGAATCAAGGCAGGCTTTCCAGTGGTTCTAGAGTGGTATTGAGGCACAGAGGCAGGTATGCAGGGTGTGCCTGTAGGCTGAAAACAGAAGGGCTGTGTGGGGTGTGCCTGTAGGCAGGGTACAGAGGGGGTGTGCAGGGTGTGCCTATAGGCAGGGCACAGAGGGGGTGTGCAGGGTGTGCCTGCAGGCAGGGCACAGAGGGGGCATGTAGGGTGTGCCTGCAGGCAGGGCCTGATGGAGGGTTTTCACAATCTGGGCTTTGTAAGGGGCTCAGATCCCTCTTGGTCTTCCCCCACCCTACCTTTGTATCGTCAGGTAGCTAATCCAGATGGCGACTTCCGACTGACCATCGTCAATTCTTCGGTGCTTGATCGGCCCAGGGCTCTAGTCCTTGTACCCCAAGAGGGGTAAGTGTGTCCCCTGTGGGGAGTCAGCATTATGCTCACTACTACAACAAATGCACATGAAAGTGCAAACTTGGGGCAAAGTTCTTGCTTTTCGTGATCATGAAGGAGGTAACGGGTCGACTGAGGCTTTTGAAGCCATAGCTTGGTAATTGTGGTCTGGTGATACCATGTGTGTTTGATTAGCAAACATCCAGCTCTCCTAAGGTCTCCGGATGTCTTGCATCTGTGTGGTGTTTCTACAGGAAAGGTAACACTGAAGAGAGTCTTTGTGAAGCAGGCAGGCCACTGGTGGTACATTCTTGCACATTTCCAGGATTTTTTTTTTTTTTGTCTTGAGTTTCATGCATTTCACAAACATTTAATTCAATCAGTCTTTCTCACACACCCAACTCTCAGCGTGTGCATGTTTTCTTATTTAAAATTAACATGCGGTTGGGGTATGCATGGCAACCTTTTATTAACTCCTTAATCACAGGAAACATAGCTAAGAAGGAGATACCGGGTTAACTTTTCTCTTTTGGTATACTTATAATTGAGAACTGCACTATTTTTAAAGGAAAAGTCTAAAAGAAATCTAAGGACTTGGTTAAAGATATTAAGAGAGAACAGAAGATTTTGAAAGGAAACTTATGTTTGCTGCGTTCTCATTCTTCACCCTTCATCCTCCTACAGCCTAGGAATATAATCACATCACTGTTACATAATAGTCACCATTAGTCATACATAATAGCTACTGTTAATTTTTTGCTTGTATTATTCGGAGTATTTTTTTTTAAACCGGTGTTCAATCATGATCTTTAAATATAGCTAGCGCCCCTTAGTGACACACACAACACATCACATCAGATAGAATTGTAGGGTATTTGTGTTTTTCTGCCTGTCAAAAGACATGTGGATGGAATGACAATAGTTTATCAGAGCACATTCAGTATTTTAGTTTACTTTCTGTTGCTGGGATTAAAAACTTGGATCAAAGCTAACTTGATGGGAGAAAGGAGTTTATTTTGCTTATAGGTTATAGTCCATCACTGAAGGAAGCCAAGGCAGGAACTGAAACAAAGACCACACTTTCTGGTTTGCCCTCCATAGCTTTCTCAGCCTGCTTTCGTATATAACTCAGAACCCCCTGCCTGTGGCTGGCACTGCCCACAGTGGTCTGGACTCTCTTCATCAATCATCAATCAAGATAATCCCCACATACATGCCCACAGGCCAGTCTGATGGAGGCAGTTCCTCAATTGAGATTGCTTCTTCTGAGGTGACTCTAGTTTGTGTCGTTGAGAATAGGTTTTAAAGTACTTCGTATACAACATTTTAGGGATATTGCAATAGGTGTATTCTGTTGTATAATACTATGTAACACTTCCTCTACCAATTAGCATTTAGATTAATATACATATATGTACATTTCTTTGTATAGTGTTGCAATAATGTGATTATAGATGGACTTTAGTAGGTGAATTTTTTAATCAAATTCAGCTATTTTAAATTTCTGAAAGACTCTCAAATATTGTAATGACAGGTAATAATGATTGTTTTGATGTCGATTGTTCTAATGATTATTCTACTTCCTCTTGGAAACAGAATCAGGGCTCTCCTGTCTCATTCTCATGAGACTGTTTGATCCCTCTATTGACTAGGGTGATGTTCTGGACCGACTGGGGAGACTTGAAGCCCGGGATTTACCGGAGCAACATGGATGGCTCGGCTGCTTACCGTCTTGTGTCAGAGGATGTGAAGTGGCCCAATGGCATCTCTGTAGACAGCCAGTGGGTCTACTGGACAGATGCCTACCTGGACTGTATCGAACGCATCACTTTCAGTGGCCAGCAGCGTTCAGTCATCCTGGACAATCTCCCACACCCTTACGCCATTGCTGTCTTTAAGGTGAGTCTTTCCGCCGAGTGCCTCTGTGCCATCTGCCAGAGCAGGAGAAGAACATGTGAGGTGCAGATCTGGGGTCTGCTGGGCTTTTGCAAAGAGTCTGTCTAATGTCTTGGAAACTGACTCTCTTCCAAATTTGCACTAACTTGTCTCCAGCCTTCATGGAGGGATGCTAGGCTTCTACCACTGCTCATACTTCAACAGGCTGAAAGTTGAGGTTCCTTCCTATGAGTGTTCTTGCTTTTCACTGCTAGGGACCGTATTTCAGTTCCACGTCGTCCTCTCTTGCTTCACTTCCAGTTGACTGAAAATGAACTGTGGACCACCTACATTATCTAGGGAGAAAATGCCTCTGCCCAACATGGGAAAACATATTTCAACACTGAGGCTCCTACTTGGTCCAACTAAATGTGCACTAGATAGGCCATCTTTTTCCTGGTGGGCAGTTGGTGAGGTTTCAATAAAGGCACTGACAGTTGTATTTAAGTGAAATCTTGATCAGACCTGTTATTCAGTAGTTATCTGTTGTCCCCACATCGTGGTGGTGTGGAGTGGCCCTTGTCCTCGTGAAGTGTCCTGAAAGGAGACCCACTGAACTAGATTAACAGGTAAAGGTTTTCTCTTTAGAATGAAATCTACTGGGATGACTGGTCACAGCTTAGCATCTTCAGAGCTTCGAAATACAGCGGCTCCCGGATGGAGATTCTAGCAAGCCAGCTCACAGGCCTGATGGACATGAAGATCTTCTACAAAGGAAAGAATGCTGGTGAGGCCGTCTCCTCTTCTCTCTCCCCAGACTTGGTCCCCGGAAAGGGGCTGCATGTGGGCAATCTCATCTCAGTGCAAGATCTGGCAGTTTGCTTCTCTGTTGTCACGACAACATGCACATTATTTAATTTCTTCCTAATGACATCTTAATTTCTTTTCTAATGATACACAAACAGCTGGAAGACAGCATGTTCTGCCTGCCTGGAGTGCTGGGGTTTGGTGGGTGATTACACCCTTTTTCTGCCCTCAGCTCCTCACTGATGGGTGGTATGGGTTTCTGGTTGCAGCTGTGAGAGGCCCAGCATGTGCTTAATCCCAGTTTAGCACATTGACAAAGAGAGGTGCATGCTGGGTGCCCAGATGCTTGCTTGCCCAGATGCTTGCCTGCCCATTGAACATTCCTACTTCTGTAGCCATGCTTAGTGCTGTTGTGTTATTTTCATTCATATTCCCCCCTTTAACAACTAAAGCTCAGGAAATGAATAAGCCTTTTCTCTCCTCAATACTTTACCAGTGTGTAGCACTTAGTAGGTGCTCAGTTCTTATTTGTTGAAAGAAGGGATGAGCAAAGAGGGGAAGAGCTTCTGTTTTCATTTTATTTATTTTTATTTAGAGACAAATTCTCGCATTGCAATTCAGGCTAGCCCGAAACTCACTGGGGAGCCCAGCCTGGCCATGCCCCTGCCTCAGCCTTCCAAGTGCTGGAAGTACAGGCATGAACTACCATGCCTGATTCTTTCTGTTGCTTCCTTTTTGAAACAGAGCCTCATTGTGTAATCTAGGTTTTCCTGGACCTCTTAATCCTCCTGCCTCAGCTCACTGAGCACCAGGTTTATAGTTGTGCCCCACCCACTCCTGGCTGTGCTTCTTTTAGAACTGGTGGCTCAGGGTTTCAGAACCTCCCACTGAGCTTTGCCCTGCTGGTCCTGCTAGCCAGGACTGAGGCTTCGGAAGCTCTCTTTCATCCTTGGTTGACTGTTAGTTTATCTTGAAGGAGACTCCTGATTCTCCAGGAGAAAGTTGAAGCTTTGCCAGGAAGAATAGTCCTTTAAGCATGCCTTCCTTAACTCTACGGGATTAAGTAGCTTCCTGGGCCTGCTGACTTGCCTCCATTGACACACTACTGGGTTCCCTGTTCTGAACTATAGGGTTGATAGATACCGTTTTGTGTTTCTTGGCTCACCACATGAAGAGAAAATTGACAGGGAAAATAATACAGTTATAGATAACCACTGCTATCCCTTGGGAACTAAGGAAGATTGTGTGAGAACTCCCTTCAAAGACTATGAAGCATTGTACAAATACAAGTCAGTATTATTTGTATGGCTTCAGGACTGGTGGAGGGGGGATTGGTATTATGATCCGTGGTTTGTAAATTAAAGAAAGAAATCATAGATATTAATTAGTCTTCTCAAAGGTACTCATCAGTGTGAGAGCTGACACTAAATGGAGAAGCCACCTTTTTCTTTTTTCTTTTTCCCAGTTTTTGAAGGAGATACCTGTTTTAATGGTTTTGTGGTTTTATGGTTTTGAGACAGGGTATTATTCAGCTCCAGCTAACCTTGAGACTCATCCAATTTAAAGTAGGATGAGATGATGGGGCCCTGCTTAGCAGCCTCAGCACCATTCTCTCTAAGCCTGGGACAAAGGACACCACCCTCTCTGCTTCACTTTGCAAGCCACAGAATGCTCTCTTAAGAAGCCACCTAGTGCAGCATGGCTCCATTTTTCTGAGTGCTCATAGTGTGCTGTGTGTTTACCCAGCAGTTGCTATAGCACTGTTCCAGTGACCTGATTGTCTCTTGCCCACCACGTCCCATCTTGGCTGCCTCTTAGCCCAGCAACCCAAGCACCCAAGCTGAGAGCCAGTCACACCCAGCCCACACACACCTGGGGAGTCCGAAACCCTGTACTCTGTATGCTGGACAGGGTCTCAGCATAGTTGTCCTTTCCCATTCATGTCCTAAAGAGTGACTGTCACTTAAAATAGCCAGAGAAGAATGATTCAGGGGGTTGGGGTAGTGTCTGCACCTCAGGAAGGTCTGGTTAGAGATAGAAGTGCTGGTGGGAAGGACCCAGACAGGGATGCATGATCAGTGGTGGCTGTCACTTGCAAAAATGCCAGCTCGCAGCCTCCCAGTTTGAGTTAATGCTTCAGTGGTGAGTCTGACTACCAATGCTGTGCATGCCCTCCAGCCATAACCTTCTTCACTTTAACCACCCTGCCTCTCTATAGCTCTCTGAGAGGGTGTCCCAATGCAGGATGCATACAGTGCCAGGCCATCTACCTTCATTTTTTGTTATTCATTCCTAACACATGTAGGGCTTTCTAGTAGCCAAGCATAAAGTAATGGTAGGTGCATTTCTAGGGGCTAGCTCTGTCACTCATACCATACTGATGCATTTCGCAGGTTTCTGTAGCCATCATTGGCCTTGCCCAAATCCACATGCCTTCACATACTCCCACTGTCTTCAATGCCTGCAGGAAAGCCAGGATCAGTAACCTGTCTAGTGAGAACTTGAGCCAAGTTGCTTCTGAAACTCGAACGTCAGTGAAGCCATCAAGCTTTGCACCCTCTTCCAGCCATGGCTTGAATGGCAGAGCCCTGGTTTTGTGACAACAATTTAGAATTCTGCGATTTGATAGATGCTAACCTGTAATAAAAGAATTTAGTTTAGATGGACCGCTCATGGGTTTGAGATCCTTGGTGGCTAGTGAAGGCATTTCTGGTTTTGATATTTGGCTGGTTTTTTAGGTAGAGACACTGCTGTTTCTCCTAGTAGGAAGTTTCTCTTTTATCCTTTAAAGAGGTCATTTTGCAAGATGATGGGCCCTTGTAGTTGATGCTGCCATGGCTTGAAGCATTTCAGAGTTCTTTAATTCTTCAGAGCCTACCGTAAATACAGGCTTCCAAGTATCCATAAAATGGGAATGGATAGCTGTTACTTGAGGCAACATGAATTTGGTAATTGCCAAATATTCAGATACTTAAGTGAGATGCTGGCAGATTTTGGTTCCTAAACTGATTTTGGAGGAATTTTTCAAAGAGAGTCTGAAAAGGTCCTGAGAATGCCTTGTGAAGGCATCTGGGCCAGGTCTTCTAAAAGGGCATTTGTCTATTCTTTAATTGGCCTGATGGTCATCATACTGCACATTGATGGCATCCTGTGTAAAGGGTCTGCGATGGGTTCTCCCTCCATTTCCATCCGTGCTCTGTCCTGTAGCACTCCCACGTTCTGTTCTGTAGCTCTGTGCCAACTGGAATGTTCTGCCCTGCCCAATTCTTGTCCTCAGACTTGGTGGCTTGCTTGGTCTTGCCCTGCGTGACCTCTCATATCGCAGTGCCATCCAGCTTTGCCTGGATCAGTATCTTTAAATAGGACCCACACTTTTGTTTGGCTGGGGCCATTCATTCTGCATGTGAAAATGCCTGTCATGTCATTTTATGGACACAGTTCATGTGCAAATGTCATCCTATAATTGAGCATGTTTAAGGAATTTATTCTGTCAGCCCTCCTTTACTTGGGACAGAAACAACAACACATCCCATATCTGTTTTGAGTTGTTTGTCATTAGGAGTGTCCCTGTGTCAATTCCTATAGTGAGGGATGTAGGTATTTGAGGTAAAGGAATCCCTGGATTCCCACAGATGTCAGAGAAAGACTAGAGCTTGTGATCTGGTTTGCTGGCGATTCTGCTGTGGCAATGAGGCTGTAATGGTGGATTGAGTCATTTGATGGAGTCTTTGAATTTTTTAGCATTGAATAAAACATTTCCATTTCTCTCTCTCTCTCTCTCTCTCTCTCTCTCTCTCTCTCTCTCTCTCTCTCTCTCTCTCTCTCTCTGTGTGTGTGTGTGTGTGTGTGTGTGTGTGTGCGCGCGCGCATGTGTGTGTATGTGTGTGTATACTTATATACTTGCATATATGTATGTGTTTGTTAGTGCCTCATACTCGCTTTTTCTTAGCATAAGATGATATCATCGTTAAATCACTTCACTTTTTATTTGTAATGCCACTTAAACTGTGAAGTTGCCAGTACCTGAAAGGCCCTTGTTAATACTAGTGGTCATTTATAGTGACAATTGGTGTTGTCAACCTGACAGAAGCTAGAATCACAATTGAGATGGGCTTCTAGGCATATCTGTTTGGAATGATCTCAATCACATTAGTTTAGTGGGAAGATCTGCACACTATGGGTTTCACCATACCCTGGCTGGGATCCTGGACTGTGCAGGAAAACAAAGAGAATGGAACATCAACATTGCATCATCTGTTCTCTGGGTTTTGGCAGTGAACACAAAGGAAGCAGCTCCCTCAAGCTCTTTCTTCAGTGATGGACTGCACCCTGTAACTGTGAGCCAGAACAAACCCTTTCTCCTTTAAGTTGCTTTTGTGAGCAACAGGAAAAGAAACTAAAACATCTATCAATCTTGTTTCCCAGTTTGTCAAAAGGGGTCCACCCAGCTTAGCTTAAGTCTTGGGTGTATGGAAACAGATCACATGGATTTCTGGGAGGTGTGGGAGGTTATTAAAGGTTTTAATGTTTATTTCTCCCTATTTTATGATTAAAAGCCAAAGCAAAAAGAAACAATGCATATGTTTTATGATTTCAGCACCTTATGCTTCTCCATACCTGTGTCCTGCTTATGGTTGTTATAAAGTAGGTGTGGCATCCTCCCATTTTACTGGCAGAAGGGTTTTGGGTAGGAAAGAAAACATTTAGGCCATGTCTGTCTATCTATGATTGTCCAAGAGTGCAGTGTAGCATTTGGATATCTTTTCTGGCATTCTTCTCACTAAGCTGACTCACGGGAAAGATCATCATAGTGGTTAGGTCATTATAGGGCCTGGCCCTTCTATGAATTTATTGCATGATATTGGCTAATCAGTTTTATGTGTGGTTCTTCATTCAGCCAGCTAGCTGTACTGTGACACAAAGTACTTGAGAAGGGGAGACCATTATCTAGGTATATATTTCAAAGAAGGGCATTTGCATACTGACAAGCAGAAACCCGTTCAAGCTGGAGCAGGTAAAAAAATGTCATTGAAAGACAGGGAGGCAATAAGGAACCCAGAGTTGGGAGATCTGCTCAAACCTTCAGGTGACTGCAGATGGCCATGCAAGGCCACCTCTCCTTTTGCTGGGGCCATGAAGTGGAGAGGAAAGAGCCTCCATGTCTCCTTGACTCTGTAGCCTGTACCTGCAGATCTGCCACAGCTGCAATTTACACACTAGCTAGGCTTCTGTGTACCACCTTAGGTCCTGATGCTCTGTGACATTTCCCCTCACTCCAGTTTCCTGGTTGATTTCTAAGCCTACAGTAACTCAGTTCCACACCACCGGGAGGAACATGCGCTTCCCTTGAGCCCTAGCCATCCTTTAAACTTCATTTGTATATGTGTGAGTGTCTGCATGTAAGTGTGTGTACTGCACATGTGCCTGGTACCCACAGAGATCAGAAGAAGGCATCAGAACCGTAGAACTGGAGTCACAAATGGTTGTGAACCATATGGGCTCTAGGAATGGAACCCGGGTCTTCTACAGGATCAACAACTGCTCTTACTCTTTGAGCCATCTTCTCCTCCAGTTCCATGGGCCCAAACACTTATGGGAACAAGTGATTGAGAAGCCCTCACTGTGAGGTGTAGGCCCCTACTTAGGGCTCCGAACAGAGGTTTGTCAGTGTGATTGATGCTTTGGAGATGTTCTAGGCTCCTCACTGCCTCATCTGTAAGATGACCTTCAGTGTGGTTCATGTTCTCTGGCTCCCTCTTGATGCGTTTTAACCGAACTCCTGCTTTTTTGTTTTTTTCTCTCTAGGAAGCAATGCCTGTGTACCTCAGCCCTGCAGCCTGCTGTGTCTCCCTAAGGCCAACAACAGCAAAAGCTGCAGGTGTCCAGAAGGTGTGGCCAGCAGTGTCCTCTCGTCTGGGGACCTGATGTGTGACTGCCCTCAGGGCTTTCAGAGGAAGAACAACACCTGTGTCAAAGAAGGTGTGTCCCTGTTCTTTCCTCCCCCACTTCCCCTTCCCTTTTGATCTCGGTATTGCCTAGGTTTTGGTTATTAGAAGATGTTCCAGGTGGAAATGAGACCCATTAGATATGGAGAGATTGTGGTTTGGGCTCTAAGGCCTCTGGTTCTTCAGTCCCGTTCACAAGGATCCTGGGTTATTTATATGAAGGTCAAAACTGTGCCTCTTGGTTTAATGACAAATAGCACAAGCTTTCTTCAGGTCCAACTTCCTTTTATTCCTGTACTCACCCACCCCTCTCATACAGGTTCTCTGGCTTGTTCCTTTAAAACAGTGGACCAGTATGCCTTCAAGACATAACTGGCTAACCTCTGTCAGAGCTGACTGTGCTCTCTCTCTCTCTCTCTCTCTCTCTCTCTCTCTCTCTGCCATCACAGAGCTGGGAATAGCCCAGACTTTCAGATCAATGTTGGCTGGGCTCTAAACATCTTGATTTCCAAGCTGTGGCCGAGTAAATGACAGGAGAAGCCTCATCTTTAGCCAGTTTGAATTTGAATAAATGGCTTAAAGTCTTTTCCTCTGAGAATCTGACACCCCACTCCTGTCTTGTTGCCCATTGCCACTGACTCAGTCTCTAACCTCATATTCTTATCTGTGAGAGCCCAGGAAGGGTGGCCTTGCCATGAAGTACTTTGATTGATGGCTGCAGTCCTGTGTTTCCTTATTCTCCAGATCATATTTGCTTTGTAATCCTAACCACACTTCTCTGAGGCCAGGGCAGGCGAGTGGACAATAGGAGCCTTATCATCCAGCTTCCTTAAAAAGTACAAGTGGGGAAAAGATGACTCTCCTTCTTCAGCAACAGGAGACTTTCTCTCATGCACTGAATGGCATCTTAAAGCTATTTAGAAAGAAGGTCAACAGTAATTTATAAGAGGGCCAAAGGTTTTCTCCAGTCACCATTGGAATGTTGTTGATTGTCCACACAGGCCATTAGTGTCCTTGACCCAGTATGCTGAACAATGCTTTTATGGCCTATATAAGTCCTTGCTTTGAAGAAGCTATAGAACCAAGAAAGAAAGGAAAGAAGGAAGGAAAGCAGGAAGGATGGGAAAGAAAAGAAAGGGAGAGAAAGAGAGAGAGAGAGAGAGAGAGAGAGAGAGAGAGAGAGAGAGAGAGAGAGGAGAGGGAGAGGAGAGAGGAATATACATTAATAAAATCTTAGTAAGTTGCTAGGTTATTATACTAATGTATACACGGCTATGTAACTGTATCTAACTACATAAGATCATTCCTTCCTCACCCAGGATCCATGACTTCTGTGGATAGTAAACTCCACAGATCCTTAAGTCCTTTATATAAAAGAGCATAGCACTTGCATGTAGCCACCTGCTGAATATATCCAGCCTTCTCTAGGTTGTAATAATACCTGCCGCAATGTAAATACTGTGCAGATGGGTGTTGAACTGTGTTGTTCAGGGAATGATTTCAAGGAGAGGGAGAAAGTTATCATGTTCAGTAGAGATGCAATTTCCCGTAAATATTTCTGGTGTTCGATTAGCTGAATCTTGAATATGGATGCCTTGAGTACAGAGAGCCAATAAGGTGTCTACTATAGCTGTAGGTGTACCACCTGGGTATGTTTGATACTCTGTAGACAGAGCCACTTGAGGGCTTGTTTGTGTAATTTGTATTTTATTTTTGCTGATGGCAAGAATAGACCCAGTTGGTGTCAGCATTTTCCTGTTCTTCCTAGTAATTGCCTCTAAACACTTACAGCCTGCCTCATCTTAGTTTTAATTTAAAGAAGAAAGAAAGTGACTGGGGGGGAGGTAGGGTGAAGTGGGGGTACTTCCTGTCTCCTACGCATGTGTGCTCTCTTGGTCCTCCCTCCCGACTCCATCCCGTCTGTAGCAGAATGGTGTTGGAGGGAAGAGAAATGGAAACTGAAAACAGAAAGTTTTGTGGTCTAGTGGTAAGAATAATGTTGGTTTCAACCCCACCCCACCCCCTTGTTTAGAGAACACCTGTCTTCGTAACCAGTATCGCTGCAGCAATGGCAACTGTATCAACAGCATTTGGTGGTGTGATTTCGACAATGACTGTGGAGACATGAGTGACGAGAGAAACTGCCGTGAGTCTCCGGGCGTGGGAGAATTCCCAGGATATTAAACATGAAAGATTGCTTGTCTTTCTGGGTTGTGTTTCTGTGGTTTAGGATACTGGCTGGTCACTACTATGGTAGTTATCTAGATGAATGGGATTTGGGCAACAGAAAAAGAAAACAGATGTAAATATATGTAAAATATGTATAGTATTATTTTATATTACATATGTAAATTTAAGTCACACGGCTACTTTTATGTAAGCCTTCAAGGCTGAAACTGAGCTGACTTGACAATGTGGGTCATGATCTTAGTGTGTGCACTGTAACACAGCTGGTAGCTCCAGAGTGAATGACAGGTGACATTACTTGATTTGTAAATTCAACACTCAGACATGTCAAAGCCAGGCAACAGGTCCTTCTATGCTGTTTCAGTTAGCTGATGCAGGCTGTGTGCCAGGCTGAAGGGAGATTATTATAAATAATCAGCAGTGCCAGTGGGCCCAGAGCGTGGGAAATGCTGGTAGGTGTATTAAGCAAAAGTGACCTTTGTATTGCTTCTAAGGTCCAACTCCATTTCACAGGGCCTAGAGGCAAACTTCTGCTTAACCTTAGCTCTCCTTTCCTAGCTTAAGTTTTAATGGCTTTAATGTCTCTTTATAAAGACTTATGATCACAGATATTTAACACCCCTGTCTCAGGCTCTTTGCTGGGCCAGATGTAGATAGGGAATTTCGTGTCTTGAGACCTGGATGGTGCAGTGTAGTGATGGGGGATGTGATGGACCAGACTGTATCATCCAGGAAAGATACTCAAATCAGCTCCATTAGGCACAAATGAGGGGTTCTGAGGTGAATGGGGACACTGAGCAGAGGTGGAAGACAGTGTTGGACAAGGGAGCCACATGCTTCCCACTCCTGTGGATGATAGGGGAGGTAGGATTCGTGGAATAACCCAGATCAGCAGTTTTATGGGAGTCACCCATGTGATATGGTAAGAAGTTGCCTTTGGAAGGATAAATAGTGGGCAGAATGAACTGGATGAGAGAGAAACTGACTGTAAATAGGGAAACCAGAAACCCAGTCAGGCCTGTCTTTCAAACTGAATACCTGGCTACCTAGAGGCTCTCTCCCTGTGTGAACTATAAGAACTGGTTGATGAGGAAAGCCTATAGGCCTTGACTGATGTATTTAAGCCTTCTGTGGAGTTCATGCTAGGGCCCCACATGCCTTCACATAGGTAACAACTTTAGAACAAGGTGATCTGGTTTGCGTCTAGCCAAACGCTTCAGGTTTATCTGGTCCTTGCAATGCCCTTCCTTGCTCCTTTTGTATGAGACCCTGACACCCTTGTTTTTTTGTTTTTTTGTTTTCCCTTGACCTCAGTGCATGCCTTTCCCATCCAGGAAAGGGGTGTCTTGAATGGCAGGCTGGGAAAAGATTGTGCCTCTGATTGTTGTTTTGTTTAACCAGCCTTTTCATTTTTTATCCAAATTGTTGCAGGGGGGTGTGAAGCTTGTCAGGGGCTAGGCAAAGCTGTTTTCAAACATTTATAAATACTATTAAGTATGCAAAGGAACTAATGGAAGGGAATTATTTCATATAGGGCTGTGGGAAATAGCTCGGACAGTAGGCATAGCAGAAGTAAAGAGACGCAAGTTAGTTTTCCACATGTGTGGGACATGAGACAGGAGGCCTTCCCTGTGCCCCAGGCTCAGGGTCTCCTGATAGCTCCCTTATGGACAGAAGTCATAACTTCTGTGTTTGCTCAGGTGGCTACTAGCCTCAGCACTGTCCTCCCACAGTCCTAGCCCCATGACTGCTCTTGCAGCTTGAACCCACTGTTTGAACCCCTACAGTGGGTGAAATATGGAGACGGGTCTGCCCTCCTCCTGGTTTGGTGTGACTATCAGTTGAGGTTGACAGCCCCTCAACTTGCCCCCAGACAAGTTTTCTGGTGTCTTCTCTCTCACATGTGTGAACCCACTTGGCTTAGGCCCCCACATATCAGATGAGACAGGGCAGGGTGAGGTGATAAGGAATGTAAGGCCTCTCTCCTGGGAATCAAACAGAGGGGCCGGGTCTCTTTATTGACCCATATGGCGAGCAGAGCCCTGTCCGAAGGCCAGGCTGTAGAACAAGGCAGGTGTGGCAGGGTGCTGTGGCATGGGGTGACTACAGAGACACCTGTCAGCTGCCGGAGAAGAGAAGAGGGGGGTTGCAGGCGACTTGGGAAGGATATTGTCAGTCATATTCCCCCTGTTAAACAGACTCCTCCAGCTGGGTGGATGGGAGACACTCAGGTTTTGACATGAATCCTCTGCAGTCTTGTCATTTTGTATTCATCCCCTGCCTCCTACCACGAGCTCAATTACAGGGAAGAAATGGAACCTCAGATGAGAGCTGCTGGGATGTCTAACAGCACTGCTGCCATTTGGAGTTGCATTCCACTGCACACCTCCACCCTCTGCTGCAGGAGTCTGTCCTGCTCTTTGTCCAACTCCTCAGCAGCTTGGGAGGAGAGCAGCCTTCGTCTCCTGCATGTCTCCCGAGGGCCTTTCCCTGGGCTTTTGGGGTTTCTGGATCAGCCAGGACATTTCTGTTTAGGAGAGGGAGGCAATAGATTCCCTTACCCATCAATATGACTGAGGTATGATGATGGAGGAAAGACACGTCTATTAGGAGTCCATTATTGGTGGTATTGGTGGTACACGCCTTTAATCTCAGCACTCGGGAGGCAGAGGCAGGGAGATCTCTGTGAGTTCGAGGCCAGCCTGGTCTCTAGAGCGAGTGCCAGGATAGGCACAAAGCTACACAGAGAAACCCTGTCTCGAAAAACCAAAATAATAATAATAATAATAATAAATAAAAACCAAAACAAAACAAGAAAAGGAGTCCATTATCTCTACAGTCTGCTTTATAGGGTGTGGCTGTAACCCCACATCCATAGTACTACCACCAGTTTACCTTACCTTCACTTTACTACAGAAGAAATGGCAGCTTAGGGAGGTTAAAATTACTTGCCCGATAAGAGTTAGAGCTAGGATTCGAACCCCAGCCTTTACTGAGTGCAGATACAGTTATTTCTCCTGCAAGAGTCTAGCTATGCTTTTCTTCCACCTGTAAGATGTGTTAGGTGCTGGTACAGGGTTGGGCGTCCTTTAAGGTAGGTAGTTCTGTAGACAATGCTGCTTATGTTGCTCACTGGGAAGAGTGCTTCACAATCTGGAAGGATTTTAGAGGCTATATCAGCCCCTCACTCCTCTCCCAGTCAGACAGCAATGTCACATTCTAGGCCCTGTTTCTATCTACAGGTGACCCTGGAAACACATGCCCTTACCTAACTTGCCTAATCAGGTCCCTGTGCGATTTGTTTCTGTCATGAGGTCTGGGCTTACTTAGTTCTTGTTGTTATTAACTAAAGCCTGCCTGCCGCTAGTTTTAACTGCTATTTTGGTGGGAGGTTTGTAAAGGGACAGGATGAACTGATATAACAAATGTGTCCCCTCTTTCCCTCTGTAGCCACCACAGTCTGTGATGCAGACACGCAGTTCCGGTGTCAGGAGTCAGGGACTTGTATTCCACTCTCCTATAAGTGCGACCTTGAAGATGACTGTGGGGACAACAGTGATGAGAGTCATTGTGGTAAGGGGGTGTTCTGGGGGAGGGTCCCCATGCTGCTCACAGGGCTGTGCTGGTGGATGGGGTGGGCTGGAGTAGAGAGTTTCTGATGGACAGTTGGGATTTAGCATCTTCCAGCTGCATGGCCACTTCTGCCCTCATGGCAGGGCCAGTCACTTCTCTCCTCTGTTCAGTTTTTGTTGAGTTCCTTCACTTTCTTTCATGGGCATTCAGTGACTCTGGGAACACACGTCTCTTTCTAAATGGGATGTTGGATTCCTGGTTAGGAGACGGCATCTAGACTCAGCCTCTATCACTAACTTTGATTAGCTTTTGTTTTCCAATCTGAAAAATGGGTCCTGCTTTCTCTTTTAGACAAGCCATAAGTGATATGTGAAAGCAAGGATGTATGTTTTTCCAGTGAATTCAATGAGTTCTTTGTTTTTTTATTTTATTTATTGTTATTGTGTGTGTCCATGATGTCTATGTGAGTGTGTGTGCCATGGTTTGTATGAGTTCCAGTGAATTCAATGAGTTCTTTGTTTTTTTTATTTTATTTATTGTTATTATGTGTGTCCATGATGTCTATGTGAGTGTGTGTGCCATGGTTTGTATGAGTTGGGAGGGACTGTGTATGTGTGTATATGTGGAGGGGGAACAATTCCACAGAGTCACTTTTCACCTTCCCACCTTTAAGTTGGACAGGGGGTGGGGGATCAAACTCAGGCTTGCACAGTAAGTACTTCCTCCACTGAGTAGTCTTTCTGCACTGTCCCCTACCCAGACTCATTGGGTCTTTAATAGCTATAGAGACACACCCCTACACACACACACACACACACACACACACACACACACACACACACACACACTTGGACCACAATGGCCCAGGATCTTACCTTTGCGACCTTTAATTTCCATTTTTTTTTTGAGACAAAGTCTCTATGTAATCTAGGGTAGCTTAGAACCCAGTCTCCTGAGTGCTGGGAGTATAGATACATGTCTCTGTGCCCAGCTGCACGGAGTCATTGTTCTTCTTTTTAAAACCGATCTAATGTCATAAACTCTTCCACATTGATTTAGTATGGGTTTCTAAATGGAGGTTTTTGTATTTGGAAGAATAATGTTTTGCCATCACAGGGTCTAGGAGGGCCTGTCATCTACTCTTTCACTTGGGTCCATCTTAACTGTCTCCTCAGTAGGATTATTCAAGATGACAGGATCATTTCACATCAGGATGGGGAATTGGGGCTCATGACTCCCCATTTGTAATGCCTTTCTGTTGCATGGCACTGTCATGCCAATTCTATGAGCCCTATCTTAGCAGGCAGTGGTCCTATGCTGTTACTCTGGAAGGAGATTTTATGTACCGTGTATGTACTGCACCAGCCTGGGAACCTATCAGACTAAAAGGGAAGTGAAAATGGAAGCCAGACGCCAACCCAGACATGGTGATGAGTTGCTGAGGCCCTACCGGCCCTTCTGTCTACAAGGTCAGGTCCAGCCAAGCTGTGTGTGTGCACATGGACAAGGCCTGCTTTGTTTGCTCTGAGCAGGTGGTTTGACTCACAGGAACTAGATCTAATGGAGCAGGGACTGTTCACAAATCATTTTAACACAAACAGATTAGTGGACACATTCAGGGCCACTTTTGCATAGAATGTACCCTGCCCTGGCTAGAGGAGGAATGGGGATTTTTGTTTTATTTTTTGTTCCATAATATTCTTTCAGCAAATGCCATTAAAAATGACCCTGGGATCTACAATTTTTTCCTTCATTCTTTCATTTCTGCCGCAGAACTCTGAAGGCTGAAGTGTGTGGACAGAGTAGAAATATACTTTCCTTAGGAGAAATGTAACCTTACATGGTTCAAGTCTCTACCATTGTCTTTTTTTTCCTTCATTCTTTCATTTCTGCTGCAGAACTCTGAAGGCTGAAGTGTGTGGACAGAGTAGAAATATACCTTCCTTAGGAGAAATGTAACCTTACATGGTTCAAGTCTCTACCATTGTC